TTTGTTTGTATGGTAGATTTATAAATGTTGAGTTGGATGCTGTATTATTAGTTTCCACCAGTTCTGTAAATCCTGCAGGATTTTTATTAAATTAATTTTTCTTATGCAAACACCTAATTAAACTATCTTTATTTAATACAAATCCAAAGTTTTATAATATTCAACTAAAGGATACTTATCTATTTATTTTTTTACCAGGCCAGCAAACTACTACGAAAATATCAGTTCACACAAAATTAGCATTAAGCAATATGTCGGATAATTCATTAATAGGTATGAAATATAATTTTGTAAATTTTTACTTAAATAAATAAATAATTAAATAATAATTTTTAATTTAGACGTATTAAAGGATATTACTACAAATACAATTAACAATTCTGATAATTTTTTTGAAAATTATGAATCAATTTTACAAGATGCTTTGTTAATAGTGCAAGAACAACATGCTACTAATAATGTCAAATAGGCGCAATCAGTTAAAAAAAGTTTTGAAAGTATTACCAAGTTGGTAACTAACATTAAAACATATAAAAGCTACAACCCCAAAAACGTGGAAAGATAACAATAAACATACTATGTATTTGCAATTTTAAAAGTAATTAAGTAACTTTTATTCTATACTTTATTATTAATTATACAAGTATAATTATACTAACTATATTAACTAAACAGGTGTTATAACATCGAATATAATTTAGATATTATTTTAAAAAAATATTTTTATTAAATAATTTAATATTTAAATTTTAATATTCTTATTTTAGAATTATGTAAAGCAAATACGCAACTGCTAAAGATTAATTCTCAGATGCTTATATGCATGTTAATATTAAAGTTTAACAACTTCGCTATAGTTAATTTGCAAAAGCTGTTTTTTGCTATTAATATCACTTATTATTATTATTAAATTTTAACTGAGAATTATAAATATCTTTAAATTTGACTGAAGTGTATTAAAATTATATCAAATTTTTTAGATTTATTGAAAAGTACAATTGAATTATATGTTTAATATTATAAGTGCAATGTAAAAATATTAAAATAAATATATATAATCGGAACTGAGCTTGTCTTATATTTAGATAAATTTAGAGAGTTCCATATACTTTATTTATTATTAACCCATAATCATTAATGTCATTGCAATAATGTGTTTGTATTAGTTAACATATACCAAACAATTTCTCTAAACAAACTGGTAAAATCTATTATTAATTTTGATAAATAGCTTAAATATATAAATTCAATAACAATTAAAGCTTCAATAAGATGTTTTTCGTATTAGAAATGTTTTTAAAAATCAATGAAACATGTTAAAAAGGAGTGTAAGAATTACAGTATATGTAGTGATAACTTTATTTTTTTAAAAAAAATATTTTTTAAACTTTGAGCAATGTTACCTTGGTAACCACTAAGTTGATTTTAATGAACTTTTTTTATTTGAATTCTTCAAATCTGTATAATTCAAATAAAAAAAAATCTATTGAATTTGGCTTGTGGGTGTCAAGATATCTTTACTCAAAGTTTTAAAAAATTCAAACCATCTATCAAAATAAAAGCTATACCAAATTATTATTAAAATTTGAGCGAAAATATCTCAACACTCACCAAACCAACTTTGATGAACTTTTTTTATTTGACTTCTACTTATTTGTAAAATTAAATAAAAAAAAGTTCATTGAATTTGGCTTGATGGGTGTCAAGATATCTTCACTCAAAGTTTAAAAAAATTTTACGCAACTCTTCTTTTTGATATACGGTTTGAATTTTTTAAAACTTTTGAATGAATATATCTTGAAACTACCAAGCCAAATTCAAAAATCATTTTTTTATTTGAAATCTATAGATTCATAGAATTTAAATAAAAAAAATTCATCGAATTTGGCTTGGTAGGTGTCAATATATCTTTGCTTAAAGTTTAATAACAATTTGGAACAGCTCTTATTTAAATGGTTTGAATTTTTAAAATGTTGAGTGAAGATATCTTGACACCCACCAAGCCAAATTCGATTGATTTTTTTTTATTTGAATTTTACAGATTCGTAGAATTTGAATAAAAAAAAGTTCATTAAAATTAACTTTGCTATTGTTAAGATAACATTGCTCAAAGTTTAAAAGTTTGATATTAAAAGTGATTAACAAAAAAGATATATAATATAGTTACACAAGTAGATCATATCATGTGATTATGTAGAAAATTTAGAGGTGTTCTTGGGTAGTTTTCAATTGTTAGATGATTTTCGATAACAATGGGTTTTTAACCAATTCTGGTATTTTCTCTATATAGAGTTGTATAATGAGTATTTACTTTTACTCTTTCTATCTACCACTGTTTGTAATAATTTCAGGTTTTAATGTGTAGCACCAGGCTGTGGAAAAAAAAAAAATTTGAATTAAACCTTTGGGATATAATTTATCTCAATGGAAATGGACCTGATGAAAGCTCCAAAAGAGAATCTAATTCGGAAATTGCCACATAAGCTACCAGAAGAAAATTGTGATTATATTGTGGCTGAATTGTAGCTAAATTGTGGCTGTAGAGATTCCAAGACCATGGTAACCTGAAAAATAAAGAGATTGAGCAGAAATAATAAGTCCGTGGAAGGCCCATTTTCCCGTGGATGACAAACCAAGCAAGGCCAAAAAAGGATGTTGATCTGACGATTGTCTATGGGAAATACAAAAAGAGTGGTAGTGTGAAAACGCCACTAACCTTTCTGTAGGGAGTGAAGAGATGTAATAATGTCATAATAATGGCGTAAGGGGCGAGACTTAGAATCTTTTAGCTTCCTTTCGTTTTTTTTTCTTCTCCTATTTTTCTGTATAAATAGAGTAGCAATTTGCCCCAGTTGAAAAGGGTATTGAAGTTCGGCTTAAAAATAATAAAAGATATAATTCAAATAAAAACTGATACCTTTTATATATAAAAGTTATTTATTTTGGCTGCATAATCATATATCATAAACCAATTCACCTTACCTTGCCAAATCCTCTTCACTGCCTCTTGTTTTGGTTTTGTTGTGTGGTTGTATAGTTTGATTGTTTTTCTTGGACCACTTTGCTTTCTTATTTAACCTCCAACACCATTTAAAATAAAACATTTTAGCATAATACTGTACTAGTGCAATTACATAAAATGCAATAGGGATGGTTTTATTCAACTTTTTTTAATACCACTACGTTTCTTTTTGAAAAATTTTTTTGGTTGGAATAATGATTTTCATTTGTCATTTTTAGAAAGTATTAAATACTTTCATAATATTAATACGAAAATACATTTACATAAATATGATATTATTATGATGCAAGTACATGCGTACATGCTGTGTGTAAATAGTAATCATAAAAAAAAATACCTATTAGACAGTCTACCGACACAGTATCCACATAGTTTATCTTTTTTATTGGCATAGCAATTAATATTAACATTTACCAGTATTATTTTTAACTATACCAACTTATTAGAAATGTTAAAAAACTTTAACTATGAATTATTGAAATAGAAAGTAAGTTTGTACCAGACTTTTCTATAGTAGCTCATATTAGTTTTACATACTGAAATTGCAGAATAGCAAGTTTTTTGAATTTTTTTATAGTAATCACAATAACTTCAATACAGTATTAACTACATAGAAATTATTATTTATTGTAGTTATCAAAATAGCAAGTGAGTTCAAAAATTGAATTTTTTACAGTCATAATTCTAATGCAACTAACCCAATCTTGATCACATAGAAATTATGATAATTTCCGATACAAACTAATTAATTTTATGGTTATCAGGATATTGAGAAAGTTTTGTAAAATCTTTTTAGTAGAAATTATAATAATTTTAAACAATTTAATTACTTTAAGTATGCATTGGAGAGTAAGTTTTGTGATAGAATTTATTATATTAACTTATAGCCCAATGCATACTAACTCAATCACATAATATACTGTAGTCACTGGAGTAGTATATTTAGTAATAAAATTTGTTTAATAATAATTCTAATGTAAGCTAACTCAGACATAACCACATACTTATTGACAAGAATAGCAAGTGAGTTCTGTGAAGAATTATTATAATAGAAATCAAGCAATTTAAATACAACTACTAAACCTTAATTACACAGAAATCAAAATAATTTCAATGCAAACTACCTTAACTACATATACTGTGATTATCAATAAAGTAAATAAGCTCCATAGCAGAATTTTTTTAGAAACTCACAATAGAAACAATAATTCTAATACAAACTTACACAGAATTACTTATATAGAGTTTGTGATAATCCTAATAAAAACTAACTTAATCATAATTATATAGAAATAACAATTTTTGGACAAACTAAATTTTAACCATATATTGTAGCTATAAGAATGGTGAGTAAGCTCTGTAACAAAAATTTTTATAGTAAAAATCATAATAATTCTGATACATTCTGATGCAAACTTAATTACAAATAAATTATGATAGTTCTGATGCAAACTCTATCTTATGTATTATACTATCTTAATTTAACCATGTATTATAATTGTTGAAGTAGAGATAAGTTTTGTGTAATAGAATTTTTTTGCAATAGAGAATATAATAAACTAAGCATGATCTTAATTACATAGAAATCATAACAATTACAATACAAACCAATTCAATTTTAATCATGTATTATAATTATCAGGATATTAAATAAATTCTGCAAAATTTTTTCTATAATATGAATTATAATAATTTCAATACAAGCCAACACAACCTTAAACACTGTATAGACTGCATTAGGAGTAAATTCTGTAACAAGATTTTTTTATTATAATCCATAACTTTGAGCACTTGATGTAACCACTGAAATACAAGTAAGTTTATAACAAGATATTTACTATGACTAATAATGAATCATAATAATTTGAATGCAACTAACTCAATTGCATATATCACCAGATGATGATTAAATTATATAGATTTAAACATATCCTATCAGAATTCTTATTCTTGATTTAATATATAATAATCTTGTATGTTGACAAGAGTCAACTGATTGAAAAGACAGAAAAAAATAGTCAGGGTTACAAGCCATGTACTACAACCCTGTCTAATAACATGGGTTGGGAATTGAAAGAGATATCAGACTTCAGAAATTTCACATGAATAAAGTGACATAAGGGAAGTGCAGAAAATCACATAATTTTTTAGGGAAGTGGGAGTTCCCATTTATCACGTTTTATATATACATATATGGTCAAATAGCAAATAATATTAAAGTATTTATTATATTAAAAATCATAATATTATACTATTATCTGAATTAGAATTACCCAACAACTAGTTATTCAAATAAACTAAAATTTTTATTGTTCATAAATATAATATCAGTCTATAACATATTAAAATTTCATACAATTTAAATTAATAGTTTTTGAGTAATTGCTTAAAAACTATATATAATTGTGTTATATAAATTGTATATAGTTTTTATAGTGTTTTTATACCTATGTATAATTTTCTTTAATAAAATTTAGGGTTAGGGTTAGGAAATTAAGAATTATTTTTTTTTTATATAATATATTATAGAGTTACTATAAGGGCCCAATAGGGCCCAATCTTAGTTTCTATAAAGTCTTTGGGGGTCCTGAACATTTTTACTTAGAAAAAATAATCCTATTTACTTAATACGCTTTTGAAAAATGAGACCTATAGTGTAAAAACATTATAGTAAAATCCTAAAAAAATATAGCAAAAATTTAAATAATTATAAACATATATATAGTTCTGGCTATAATTTTTTTAACAACCAATGATCTAAATTAAAAGAAATTTTTATTGTATATAGATATAATATAGTGTTACAACATATTAAAATTTCAGCTATTTTGTATTAGTAGTTCTTAAGAAATTAATAAAAAATTATATATAATTTAATTAAAATAAATGTCTATAGTTTTTAAATAATTTCTCAAGAACTACTAATCTAAATTGTTTAAAATTTAATATGTTATAGTCAAATATCATATATATTTGCAAAAAAAATTTTATCCAATTTGGATTAGTAGTTATTTAGAAATTTATGTCTCAAAATTGTTAAAATTTATAATTTTTTATATATTTTAAATATTATAAAAGATAAAATTTGATTGGTTAATAGCTCTATTACTAGGGGAGATAGGGTATGATCTATGTAAACCCTAATTATGTGATTTACTGCACTTTCCTAACCAAAAGCCACTTACAACAATCAGTATTTAAAGAAGTGACAAATAACTAATTTGCTACATTTGTTCCTCTTTCAACAAATCAAGAATTAAACCCTCTCTTTTTTCTAGATCCAACTCTCCCACCACACATTGTAGTTACCTGATTCTATCATTTTTCTATTTAACGGTCGACCTGTTTCGAGCAGCAGAAAACCACTAGTTGATGCTGCTTCTCATTCATTCTACTGTTACAATAATAACTGGTATAATCTCGCTAATTTTCCGGAAGCATATTATTGTTTTAGTTCAAATTACTCAGCTCAAATCACTCAGCTCAAATTACGCAAATAAAATTACTTTCAATGTATTCTGCATACTTAAAGTTCTTTAATTAAATTTATTTCTGGCACCTTTGGCTTGCCAACATTATTCTAATTACATAACTATTTATACCTATACTTTTTGTATATGTTTGAATTTTACTTGTACATGTGATTGTACTAGTCCTTTGTAGTATTACATCTTATGCAGCTATCTTATATACATGGCAAATGTCATAATTATTACATTTTTATAATGGTAAGTATTATACATACCTTATAATTAGAATATATATTATTTCACCTACAATCACTTCACAGACAACTTAGTTCACCAACAATTAATTTATAGACAAGTTCATTTTACCAACAATTATTTAACTAATAGCTCATTTCACTGACAATTATTTTTTATAAATTACGCTAACCTTAACTCTAATTCTAACTTGACATTAATAACAATAACCAGAATTACTTTGTCAGTAAAATATTGTCAGTGAAATAATTGTTGGTGAAATAAATTAGTCTGTGAATTAATTGTCAGTGAACTAAGCTATTGGTAAAGTGATTGTTGGCAAAATGTGCACTACCCTATAATTATCAATCAATGCACTAAATAATTGAAAATCATAACTTAAATGGAATTTTATGTAATTGTACTTAGGTTTATAATAACCTCAAGTTGGTATCAACACAAATAATTAAACCAAAATATATTAATTTAAATAAATGATCTGTAGTATTATACTTAATGCTAATATTGTAATTATAACACGTTTTTGGTTTTAGTGTGACTACGTCATATAGCTACCCTAATTTTTAATATGTATATAGAACTTTAGAAAATGTAATAATGGTAACAACAAATAATTCTTTAAGGTAAACACTTCTACTAACTAGATAGTTGCGTGATATCATCGCGCAAAATCAGAAATAAAAGATTTAAGCAGAAAACAGAATCAATACATCTGATACTATAAATTTGTGCATAATTATTATGCATTCCAGTATTAACAGCACTGAATAATCAAACTTTATTAAAAAGTTATAGCATACAACATATATCAGTATATTTGATGTATAATTGAAAGAGATATATAGTATGTATTAGTGTGTTTGATATATAATTAGAATTAGCTAGTAGTTTCCCACCCATATAAATATAGGATGGCTATTAGCTAGAAGCTTTGTAGTCACAAGATCTTAGCTTGTGGTTTCCACCTGCATATCGCAGGCAAGCTGTAAAGAGATATTTAAGCTTCACAAAATAGTAAAATTCTACCGAGAGAGGGTATAGTAGGTTGTAAAATTGATTTGCCTATGCTATCATGCTGCCTTTTCACTCTTTTGTTTTATATCAGTATGTTATTGTGAATATATTAGTATTTATGCTATAAGCTTCTAAAGCAATTTTATTAAATTTATACTTATCTTTCTCTTTACATATACCAAATTTCTTGTTGGAGTCGGATCACCTATGTGATCATCGCTTGCTAATGCATTACTGCTTAGCAGTCTTTTCAATCTGTTAATACAATATTTCATCTACAATTATTTACTGACAAATTTATTTCACTGACAGTTTATTTTACCAAAGCTTATTTTACAGACAAAGTAATTCTGATCAATATTATTAAAGTTAAGTTAAATTAGAGTTAAAGTTAGTGTAATTTATAAAAAAAAGCTTATTGGAAAAATGAGCTTCAGTGAAATATACTGCCAATAAAATGAACTTGTCAATAAATAATTGTCAATGAAACAATACAAACCTATTACCTTTATATACGACATTAGAATGCGCATTAATTTAGAGCACTAATTCGAGACTATACATTTTGTCTCTTATTGATAAGTGTTACAAACTGGGCCAGGGTGTAGTCCATTTTTTCTGCATCACGTGATGTAGATCCTTTGCATAAAATTTGATTATTTTTTAAAACTTTGAGTAGACCTTTCATGACAACTGCCTAATAAATTTTGATGAAAAGTTTTTTATTTGAATTCTAAATATTTGTAAAATTCAAACAAAAAATTTTTTATTGAAATCTATCAGGTGGTTGTTGAGAAAACGTAGCTCAAAGTTTTAAAAATTTAGCCAGAACTTTGTTTACTGATAGATGGAATAAATTTTTTTAAAACTTTGAGCAACGCTTTCTTAGCAACTATCTAATAAATTTTGATAAATTTTTTTTTATTCAAATTCCACACATTTGTAGAATTTAAATAAAAAAAATTACATCGAAATTTATCAGGTAGTTGTTGAGAAAACGTAATTCAAAGTTTTAAAATTTTGAGCAAAACTTGTTTATGAATGGACAGGATGGATTTTTTCAAAACTTTTGGTGAAGCTTTTTTGACAACCAATTGATGAATTTTATAAAATTTTTTTTATTCGGATTCTGCAAATTTGCAGAATTCAAATAAAAATATTTCCATTAAAATTAATCAGGTGCTTGTTAAGAAAACTTAGTACAAAGGTTCAAAAAAATCTATCCTATTTATCAATAAACAAGTTTCATTCAAAATTTTTAAAACTTTGGATTACGTTTCCTCAACAACTACCTGATAAATTTCGATGTAAATTTTTTTATTTAAATTCTACAAATGTGTAGAATTTGAATAAAAAAATTTTCATCAAAATTTATTAGGTGGTTGCTGAGAAAGCATTGCTTAAAGTATTGGAAAAATTCATTCTGTCTATCAGTAAACAAAGTTCTGGCTAAATTTTTAAAACTTTGAGCTATGTTTTCTCAACAACCACCTGATAGATTTCAATAAAAATTTTTTATTTGAATTTTACAAGCTTTTAGAATTCAAATAAAAAACTTTTCATTGAAATTTATTAGGTAGTTGTCATAAAAGCATTACACAAAGTTTTAAAAAATAATTAAATTTTATGTGAAGGATCTACATCACGTGATGCAGAAAAAATGGACTATGACCTGGCCCAGTTGGGTGTTACAAATGAAAAAAAAAAGAAAAAGAAAAAAACAAAAAAAAACAATTATGGGTTATCTTGTTCTTTACACTTTCATGCTATAATGCAAATACCAATAGTACAGAATTTGAGAGTATCGTAAGTACGACCTGTTTCTATTTAATATGTATGCTACTATGGGCAACTTTGGCAAAAAAAACTGAATTCTTCTGGAAAAAACCTGCTGCAACCAAAAGAAAACTTGTGACTATCATCCTGACAGGCCACTTTCTACCCCAAATTCAAAATTTAAACCTACTTTCTAGTAAAGCTTAAACTCAAAAATGTAACTGTCATTCTTACAGGCCACCTACTATAATACTCAAAACTCAAAACGTGACTGTTGTACTAATTGGTCATCTTCTGCTAAAAAAACTCTAAATGGCTAAGCAGTAGTTATTGTTTTTGATAGACCAAGCTTCAATAGACAATACTAGGCATAGGTAGAAAGAAGCCAAAAAACCAGACAAAGTCAGATCAGCATAGTGTTGTTAGTAGAATTAATTTGCCAAATTATAGCTGTTTTCATAAATTCTGAAATATTGATCTGCTTGTGAATGAAGTCACAAGGTGATACATTATTGTGAGTCATTGGATCTTCCATGTGACCAAGGGTCATAGAACTGGTCTATAGTAAAATTGTATTTGAGTAACCTGATGATCTATTGTTTTCTTTGTTGTTTGAATTTTCTGCTCAACATTATGTTCAGCTCTGTTGCAAAAACTAGTCAGTTTTTTTAGCGAGTCTTTAAAAATTTTCAAATCCCGATATTATCAAACAAAAGTACTATCATATTTGATGACTTTTGGCATGATTTAAAAAGAAAAAAAAGTGATTTGAACTTGAAAATGCTGTTCTGTGTAATAATAAAGATTTTATTATCAGATGAAGCTGTTGGCCAAGGTTTTTATGTAAACACCACATTAAGAGAGTTAGTTAAAACTTCACGATGATTTTCTGAACCAGAAAGAGAAAAGGCAACAGCTAATACACTTTACAAGAACACTATGTTGACCCCTCTGGATCTTTGGTTAGAAATAGTCTTGATAATATTTATTGTGAATCTGAAGTAGGAAAAGAATTTGCAGATATACTTTACAAGAACATCATACTGATATTTTTAAATCTTGAAGACAATTTGTTTAAGAGTAAGCAGAAAAGGCATTAGCTGATGCACTGTGCAAGAACACTATATTGACTTTTCTAAATCTTAGTGAGAATAATTTTAGATCAAAAAGAGGAAATGCATTAGCTGATGCACTTTACAAAACAGACTTCTCTGGATCTTGGTAGAAATAATCCTGGGAATATTTATTGTGGATCCAAAGTAAAAAAAGTATTAGAAGACATACTTTGCAAAACATTATGCAATCTTGAAGACAATTAGGCATTAGCTAATACACTTTGCAAGAACACTATGCTGACTTCTCTGAATCTTAGTAAAAATTACCTTGGATCAAAAAGAAAAAATGCATTAGTTAATGCACTTTGCAAGAATACATCACTTGAATATTTGAAACCTCGATCTAATAAACTTGGAGTAGAGGGAAGGAAAGCATTAGCTGATGTATTCTGCAAAAACACTACACTGACTTCTCTGATCTTGGTAAAAATAGTCTTGGTGATGTTTATAGTGGATCCAGAGTAGGAAAAGCATTAGCAGAGATACTTTGCAAACATTACACTGATATTTGAAAATTTTGAAGACAATTGTTTAAGAGCAAAGCAGGAAAGATATTAGCTGATACACTGTGCGAGAACCCTACATTGACTTCTCTAAATCTTAGTAAAAATAATCTTGAATCAGAAAGAGAAAATAATACACTCTGCAAGAACACTGTACTGACTTCTCTGGATCCTAGTAAAAATAATCTTGGTGATATTTATCATGGATCTGAAATAGAAAAAGCATTAGTAGATATACTTTGCAAGAACATTGCACTGACATTTTGAATCTGGAAAAAATCAGTTAAGAGCAAGCAAGAAAGGCATTAGCTAATATACTTTGCAAGAACACTATATTGACTTCTCTGATATTTGAAACTTCAACCTAATAAAGAGAGAGAAAAAGCATTTAGCTGATGCACTCTGCAAGAATGCTGTACTGACTTCTCTGGATCTTTATCAAAATACACTTGGATCAGAAGAAGGAAAGCATTAGCTGATGCATTTTGCAAACCTTCCTGAGTTTTAGTAAAAATTAACTTGCATCAAAAATAGAAAAAAACATTAGCAGTTGCATTTTGCAAGAATCTCACATTGACTTCTTTAAAAGCCAAGTGAGTGTGATATGTTGATAAAGCCAAGAAGTGCATAGTAGTTGAAGAAATGCTATTTCTGATATGCAATATAAATCAAATACTATTATCAAGTAGCATAGAGACTAACTGCAAAAAAAAAAAAAAAAAAAGGTGCATTTGGATTGTTTTGAAATCCAAGAAGGAACTCTGATGAACAATATAATCTAGAGTGTATCGATACGGCATCCTTATATACACTAAAATAAATACTAGAGCATTATTCTTTAAATCTTTGAATCTTTTGATAACAGTTTCTGGTTTAGGAGGAAAAGAAAAGCACTATTAAATACACTCTAGAAACATAAAAGAAAATTTTGGAGTCATGACCAAAATCTTTATATCTCTGTCATATAGCCTATGAAACTTGAGAAAGTTAAAATGTGAAGAAAGCTTACAGTTTTTTCAATAAGTTCTCAAAGCAGCATGATAGCGAGGTGTATGTAGGAACAGATTGATGTCTTGGATATTTTCTGATATCAGCAAAAAAAAAAAAGAAGAAACCTGCAGAGATGGGTAATGCTGATGAAATAAGCAATATTGGAGATTGCTATGATGAAGGAATCGAAGTTGAAAAGAATAAAAAGAAGGCAGTTAAATATTATTAAAACAACAATACGGGGTAATACTAAGAGGAAAAAAGAGGGTTGGATATTGCTATAGAAACAGAATCAGAGGTAAAAACAAACCCATTCAAAAAAAAAAATCTGCAGCAGTGAATAAGGCTAATGAAGTAAATAAGGTTGGAAATTACCACTTTTGAAGAAAGCAGAGTGAAAAAAAAAAAAAGTCAAAAAGTATGAAAAGAAAGTATTCGAATATTATAGAAAATTGGCAATGAGGAATTAAGGATATAATGAATAAAGTAGGGTACAAAAAAAAAAAAGACATACAGATGTGTATTGTTTGTGGGTATGAGGAGGCAGGTATATACACTCCAAACTGCTTTCAAATTAAGGTTTAAAGGTAATGGTATGTGGGTATATTGTACAGAGCATTGTTTATATGTGATAGATTAAAGTAGCTATGCACACCCACACTGTTCCTAAGTAATAGTATGGTATACTATTGTTGGGAAAAAAAATGAATATGCATGTTCATGTAGAGGTATAAATAAGGCATGTGAATGCATATGTTTATGTAGATATGAGTGAGGCGGGTGTGTACACCCCACACTACTTTCAAATTAGGAGATGCTTAGAGACAGGTTGCTGAATCTTGGGTAGGTAGATTTGCAACTGCTCCCTGACATTAAGACAGAAAAGCTATTAATGTTTGCCTGAAAAAAAAAAAAAGTGATGCTCAAAGACATGTTACAGGTTGTGTAACTACTTCCTAACATTAAGTATATATGCAAAATTAAGGCACAGGAATGTGTATATCTGTATAAATAATATATAAGTATGTATGTTCATGTAAGATGTAGACATTGAAAAAAAAAAAAATTAAATGCATAAAAGAAGAAGATGCTTAGAGACAGGTTGCTGGTCTTGGGTAGATAGGTTTGCAACTGCTCCCCAACATTAAGATATAAAAGCTGTAAATATTTGTGCGAAGAAAAAAAATAAAAAAAAAAGTGATGCTCAAAGACATGTTACAGGTTTTATGATCATATAATAGCTTTCTAAAATCAAGAACCTGGATTCATATATGGGATCTTTGCTATTAAAATGACCCTCCGAGGCTATGTTGATTTTGTAAATAAAAATTAAATTTGCCAGCTATCTAGTAATCCAATTTGAATAAACTTTTTTTTATTTTGTAAATCTCAATAGAATCTACGAATGAAAAAAATTTCATTCAAATTAGATAACTAAATGCCTGGCAAATTTAATTTTTATTCACAAAATCAACATAGTCTCGGAGGGTCATTTTGATAGCAAAGATCCCATATATAATATAAACACAGGTATGTGAACCATTCTTAGATAAGTTAGAGATCTAGAAGAGTTGATTGTGTTGGGCAGGAGGCACATAAGACAGTTGTTGTTAAAGAGTAGTAGTATATAAAGAAATTGAAAAAAAAAGGAAAGTGTAAAGAATAAGAAATGCTTAGGAATGAGTTGCTGGTCTTAGATAGGTAGGCTCGCAACTGCTCTCTGCCATTAAATATGTATTGTTCATGTATAGGTATTGAGAAAGCATGTGGCCCGAGAGGTGCAAAAAAAAAAAATGAAAAAAAGGAAGCCTTCTCGATTCTCGGCAACAATCCCATACTATACTATGTAGATGTATTGTTAAAAGGACGTGACTTGGGTATAGTTGGTCACAACTATTATATGCAAGAAAGGGGCACATAACGAGCAATAATAATGATCTGCTTGTGAACAAAGTCACAAGGCAGTATATTATTGTGAGTTACTGGACCTTCCATGTGACTAAGGGTCACAGAACTGGTCCATAACAAAATTGTATTTGAGTAACCTGATAATCTATTGCCTTCTTTGTTGTTTGAATTTTTTGCTTGACATTATGTCCAGCTATCCCCCACCACTCCCAAAAAAAAAAAAAAAGAAAAGAAAAGAATCAACGATGCTTGAAAAAGTCTGCTTACGTGACCTCCTGTAGCTTGTTCAGTGACCCTATCCCATACTGTACTACATAGATGTATTTGTTAAAATGACATGACTTGGGTATGGTTGGTCACAACTGTTATGTGTAAGAAAGGGGCACATGACAAGCAATAATAATTAAAATTTTCTCATTTCTGGAATCTCTTCAGTTTCATTCTATGGATCATCAAACTTTTCAGAAAATATATTGCTATCTCTGAAATGAAGTTCTGAAGAGTTAGATAACCTTTAGAAAGATTTCAGGAAACGAGAAAATTTTTAGATGTCCCAGAATTTATAAAACAGCTATAATATATTATGGCATGTGACATATTATTTACCATAATGCCATAATGCCATAATACTGCAATGTCATAATGCCACAATGCCAGAATATCATAATGCTATAATATTGAAATACCATAATGCTGTTGTATTTAATTATTATAATGCTATTGTAGCAATGTGTTAAAAACTGTAATGCTATAGTAACATAAATAACATAGGATAACATTCCTCTAGTGTTTATTGTTTAAAAGTAATCTTTAGATTTAAGATAACACAGTAAACTTACTGGTTTTATAGGTAATCAATGATCATCAAAGTTCATAGTGAAAGAACTTATTATTTTTTTTTTTTACTATTCGGTCAAGGTTATTTCTTATAGTTGGGAATAAAGTTTGTTTCAGATTACCCTAAAATAAAAGATTTGTTTTTGGATGTTTAAATTCCAAAATTATCCCAAATTATCCCAATTTGCTCTATATTTTTATTATTGCAAAAGCAATTAACGATTGACATAATGCCCAAGCTGCAGATCTACAACATAGATATTATATTATGATTAAGTTTTGTGTCTACAAAATAAGCATCGATGAAGAGAGCAGAACAGGTTTAGTAAATAATATCAATTTCACTTGATTAAATTAATGCGAAATTAAGTTGCAGTATAATACATAAGGGGTTTAAATAATAATCACATTTATTGTTAATTACATTTTAGACTATATAAACATGAGTCACCAAATGCACTGTTTAATTTGACATTCATAATTCTAAATTTGATTTTTATCTCTCTAAAAAATATATTAATTTTGAAAGCCCCTAACAAAGATTCGCAAACACCTTTGTTTTAAATAACTGACTATAAACATTCTTTATATTGCTCTGTACTTTCTTAAGGTATACTAATTAATACAATAATAAATGGGGACGCCAAGAGAAATGTGACTTCAACTATTCAGAATTTATATGATTGAAATTTAATTTTCTCTTGAAGTTACTTAAATAATATCTAATATACCTACTCGAACTAGATTAATGCGAATAAAGGTATAATGTAAATATAACAAATTTACATATCTTATATTTATAATATATATATTGGCTATATAATTATACTCACTATAGTAAATACTCAAATTATCCACAAAATTATCTTGGCAAAATGTTATTAAAATAAGTAATAGGAGTTTTAAGAAATTTTAGTAGTAGAATGTAGTTAATCAAAATATAACTACTTATTGCTATGAATATTTGTACCCGCGCCTAGTGATGGGAACTCTTGAATTAATAACGATAGACAGGTAGTTAACTGACATCTGATTTCAGAGGCAAATTAATTCTAGTCACTGGGTTTAGGCTAAATTTAATTCTAAAGTTGGTACAATTTATAAAAAAAGAATGGTGGTGAGAAAATATATAGTTTACAAAATGAGTTTGTCCGTCTGTAAAATAACCTTGTTTGTAGATTAATGTATATGAACTAAGTTGTCTATAAAGTGATTGTTAGTGAAATAATACGGACGTAGATTTGCTTATTTATTATGTTGATTTTTTTTTTTAAATTCAAAAGCACGCAACTGTTTAATTGTTTTTTTTTTATGTAGGCATACTTAATTAATAAATTTTATCATGTTTTGTTGTCAGGTTCCCTAAAAGAAAAGTGGTTCGGGGTATGGTACGGGGAAACAGTGTATATGCACGGGATGGTACGGAACGTATGGCACGTATAGGCGCGGTTTACGGAATGGCACGGTTAAAAATGACACGGACATTACGATAATGGGTGGCACGTTGTATCACGTCACACGGAATCGGTTTAATCGACTAAAAATTTTTTATATAAGCTACTATATTTAGTCGACCAATTAGTCGACTAAACCGATTCCAATCCCTAATGGCACGCATCAGATGACACGTATATGCACGTTGTACGTGATTCATTTCACGGAATAACACGTGTTAAAAGTGACACGTGTTAGCTCATTTCACGGAGTACAATTAGAGCGAAGGATCACAAATGATTTTTTTTTAAAAAAAATTGTAATTTCTCAAGAACTCGCAAGTAAACCTACTCTGGATATCTTAAGGAAAAGATTCCTTGCAAGACTTTACACATTTGCAGTTACTTTAATTTCCAGATATGTATATACTCCAACTATTACCAGTCCTCTTCTAATATTGGAAAGTGGACTGTAAGTCTATGTTTACTTACCCGTTCCATTCACGTGCCATCAGCTCCTTGTCAATTGGTTTAGTAAACTGCTGCAAAAGGCACGTATGATTTACGTGATTTCACGTTAAATTGGCACGGGTATACGGATCAACACAGTCCACCGATTCCGTGCCAACTCGAACCATGCACGTGCAAACCCGGCCCATAGCCCGTGCCTATACACTGTTTTCCGTGCGATCCCGGACCACTTTTCTTATAGGGGTTATATGTGAATTATTGAGTTTAAAAGCAGTAACTAATATACAAGACAACCTAATCGTATTTTTATTTTTTTCAACTTTTTTACCTTGTTCCACAACCGTGTCTATATTGCCCTTTTGTCAACAGTAAAGTCAAAATTTGATAAAAGATGGGTATGAAAAGACAACAATTTTTGATATCTCAATGTTAAGTACAATTATAATTTTTAATAAAATAATAGAAACATGGCTGAAAAATGAAATATTTGATAGTACAAAATAATAGATAAAGAGAATATAATTTAATTCTATATGAAAATGAAGTCTTAGTCCTTTTGAAAACTAAATTTAATTATAAAATCTAATAATGCAAATAAGTTATGCTTCTGAAATTTTAAGATGTACTATATGAAGTTCACTGGTTTAACGCGCTGCTACCCTAATATTTAATACATTAAGTTTAAACGTAATCATAATGATCATTGAAAGCAGTTAATTTTGAATTTTTATAACTAATATTAGTCTAAAAACAATACATAAAATTTCTGCAAAGTAGGTTCTTACGCGCTAAGTATGGTATAAATTTTACTATTGCTAACTAGAAGAGTAGAACAATTCATGCACAGTTAGCTCTAGTTGTATCCTTGAGTTTTTAATTGAGCAAAACCTATTATTAATGATAGTTGGAAATTAAAGAGATACATTATTGATACAAAATTGAAGAAAGTTAAAGAAAACAAATGAGACAATAAAATATGCTAATCTATAAAAAGCTGACGGTGTTTACATTTTTTTAAAAAAATTCATCAGTCAATTTGTTATAATAATCTTAAATTTTTTTAACAAATTATAATCAACTAATTGCTGCCATAAAATAATTAGCGAACAATATCTCGAAATTGTATATCTTCAGAAGTACATCTGACAGATTTCCCATGCTTTTTGGTACAGAACCAATATACTGAAATCCAAATATCAAACCAAACCCCTTTTTGAGGTGTTTGGCTAGGATCAAATGTCCAATTAGATGTGAATGGATTAATTTGACAATTATTGATCGTTGTACATTCCTGGCAATTAACAAATACAGGACGTTTAAGAAATCTACCCCCGTGTTTTTGGTCATCAGCAAAAGTAAAATGGCCGAATGCTTGCGGTGCTGAATCAGGAGTTACAACCTGGATTTCGAGATTTCCTGGAGACCATTTGGCGCTTTTAATTGTTGCACCACAATCTCCAGTTTCACCTGCATTACAACCAGCTCCAGCAGGATGGCACCCGTGAGTTTTTTCAACATACGTAAGGAAAAAAAATACAAGTAAAGTAAATGAAATAATAAAGCATTTCCGATTCATGTTGGATCATGATTGTTTTGATTATGTCCAAATTGTTAGTTGCTGTTTATGCATATATATATATATATATTTATTTATTTATTTGCCTAAGAAAATCTTTCAATGTGAAAAGTTACATTCTCTCGCTAAATATGACTAGTTTTGATTGAGTTACGAGTTTGGATATTGTGTTTAATTTTATATAAATTCATTAAGAATCGGTGTCAAAACTAGATTGCTATTCGGACTATTTTATAATATCGATCAGGACTTGTGATTTTACTTATTTACGCGGGTAATACAAACCAAGAAAGGAATTCGAATTTCATAAACTTCGTTGCATTCCGTTTCTGGCGTGTGATGATAGAATAATTATGATTGGTTATTAATATATATAAAGAAGAAATCGGCGATAAAGGAATGAACACAAAGCAATTGATAATCGCCTAACTATAATTTATTTTAATTTTACTAATATCAAGAAATTAATAAATAAGTTTTTTCACACATATTAGATTATAAAGTTTATCTAGAATCAAATTTAGGTGGATACTACGGTATCGTAATTTTGGGATATATTATATTAAAATTAGTACCCGAATCTTAATCATGGAGGTTTTGCTTATTGTAAATACTGTAAGCAGTGGCCAATGATAACCGAAGAATCAATCATTTAATTAATTCTAATTAGTC